AATAGGTGAATGCTCTTAGTAAAACCTTTGGATATGAATCCATTGACCTTCAGTTTCGAGTAACTTTGATGAACTTTGAGAACAAGAAGCCCTCCAGCATTGAACATCATAACGAAATCTCCATTGAGGAGGGGAGGCCAACCGTCCTCCTCCCTCTATACATGGATAGGGTAAATTTCAATGGCTGGGCAAGCATTTTTTCACTAGGCCTTATAGACTTCACAAAGTCAACTATTCGTTGAACAATTTCCGTGGAAGAAAAGTTGAAGGAGAGAATGGGGGTAATACCTGTAGAAAAAAGGTCATATTGAGGAAGACGACTACGGATTGGTGGGAAAATTTGAGATTTGAAACAAAATCTTCGGAATTCTTTTCCCGTCCAGTCGAAAGACATCTGCCACCCGGTCCTTTGTTGCAATTTATGAACATTCACAAAACTTCCCTCTCCCCCCTTCTCCCACACACACTGGACGGAGTCTCTCCAACTTGGTACAGCGAATGGTTGACCCTGTACCCAGCCCATTGTTTCAAGATCTTCTGGAACATAGACGAAGAGACAAAACTTCCGAGACTACGAATCGGACCACTGTAGCAAGGGCCTAACGAGGTCATGCGCGAACCTCTGCAAAGGCAAGATCATAACGGTCCCAAATTTTTCCCATCGCAGTCTCTTCCGCTTGTTGACCCGAACATCTGCCGCGAGTTGTGATGACTCCTAATCAATACCTATTGGTAGCACCACACGGTAAATTAAGTAACAACAAAAGCATTCTTGACTTGGTACTAAAAAATTGTAGGGTTATTGTTCGGAGTGACAAAGGGTGAGTATTGAAGTGGAATAGAGCAATTCTAATGATGTTTCTATGCGCTACCCTCGCGCTGACACGTTCCCACCCCTTTCCCATACGATCAACAAGATAAAGTAGAGAAGAGACAAATAAAAAGTCACGGCACCCAGATTCTTCAGAGTTGGTCTTGCTCTAGAACTAAAGGAAGCCTGAAATCAGG